TCTTCTTCTTCTTCTTCTTCTTCTTCTTCTTCTTCTTCTTCTTCTTCTTCTTCAAGTATCGACACTATTACCAAAAACATGGGACTCGATACTGAAATCACGGCATCGGCACGTCGCTAATTCCTTGTCTCCTCCGTCCAGCTCTTTCTACACCTCGGCACCGTCATTCATAATCCTCCTCCTCCCCTTCTTCCGTCGCGCCTCTCTTTAACCCACCCCACTGCTCCTCCCACTCATTCAACCCACCTTCACGTTTCATGTCCTCTCATCGCCCTCCGTCGTTTTCTCCTCTCTAATAATTTCGAAACCATCGGCTGCAGTCTCAAATCTTCACCGCCCTCGCCCGCCCCTCGTGTGTGTATGTGTGTATTTATGTGGGCATTTGCTAGATTGTATGTTTTGTCTGTTTGTGTGTATGAGTAGGCCCCAATGTGTGTGTGTGTGTGTGTGTGTGTGTGTGTGTGTGTGTGTGTGTGTGTGTTGATATCCACCACAGACGTTTTCTTTTTGTTCTTAGTGTTTAGTGATCAAATAAACATGCTTTAGACCGTCCAGGTAATAAACGAAATGGCTTTTTACGAATAGCTTTTGCTTCCATATGAAATGGACTTCAAGATAATCTCCACTAACTTGTCTTTTCATGAATGTACTTTTAAAAAAAGTTGTAGCACTATATCGAATGGCACTTTTCTCCCTGGAGTCAAGGGCCTTTTCCTGCCTTACTAGCGGTAACCACAATTTAGCTAGATCTAACTTACAGCAGAGCTCCACTTTCTGACAGTCAGCAAACATAGTTAACGTTGTCTCGTGGTCCAAGCTTTCACGTACATTCTGTAGCGACTGTCTTGATGGTCGCTCAAAAAAGAAACTGTTCATTTCGGTTATCCTTATTTAAAACAGAGCGCCTGGGAAAATGAATTTTTCGGTTTTTAAAATATTTTTGGGGTAAGTGTTTTACGGCGCTCGCAACTGCATAAGGTCATGTGAGCGCGCTGGACACAATAAACTTTTTCAGTTGGTAGGAAATTTTGAATTTTGCCTGGGTGGCGGCCGAAGCCTACTCTTATCGATTTTAGGCTACCAAGGGATCTTTGACGTGCACAACTTGCACACGGGATCTCCGAGAATGTTTGCCCTTGTCCGAGAGGGCTAGGTGTAGATCTTTACTACCAGAAAATCAGTGGTGTGGCTGCAAGACAGCAGTAAGAAGTAGCCAAGGAGTAGCAGTAGAAGGGCTGTAGAAAGAGTCGGGAGCCCAAAGGAGGGGGCAAATGAGGTGAGGGGGTGGGGGCAAATGAGGTG